CCCCAAAACCCCAAAACCCCAAAACCCCTTCCGCCAGAGGCTGATTGAAAATCCAAAGAAAACGATTAAAAATCTTAATTTTATTATTTGAGAAATATGGCATCTCTGTAAGACTGTTACCATGATTAGTATATTCAAGACTTTTAGAGGCGTTTAGCCTTATTTCAATAGTTGAAAGATCTACCTAAAGTCAACTTGTTGCATAGGATCAAAGTTAAATCACTGAAGTCTACAGCTACAAAAGGATTACTGAAAAATAGAGTTGCTCAAGTATCTTTAGTCTTTAAATTTTAGAATTCATACGCATTTGATGACTCGCAAGAGTACTCCTCTCCTAATAAGAAAATTAACTTTACAGTTTGTACGAAAAAGAGGCCTTTATCGAAAGCCTATGTAGAAGGGACCATAAGTGCAAAAGGGAAGGGCAGAATTATGTCTGCAAAGAAATCAGCCTCAAATAAAAACTCTAAATCATGTATTTTTAGTCTTGATTTTTACAATATAGTTAGCACTAACCCTCATCTAAACAGCTTGGATAGGAGAATGTCACCTTCACGTCAATCTGCGAGGGATTATTTTATCTATGAAACACAAAGAAACTTCATAAATAATAGGTAAGAACTTTAATCTGTCTTTAAACAAAATTTTCTTAAATAAAGTCCCTCTTATGCACTGAATCTTGACTCAAACAATGATTCTTTGAATATAGATACCACTTTAAGACTGATTCAAGAGTAGACGAGAACTTGAAGACTAAAATTCTACTTCATAAAAGTAAAGATAAAGAGGAAAAGCAAAGATATAAACAACTTTTTGAGCAAAAAATTGAAGAATGCAACAATTTAAAAGTTCAAAAATGTAAGTGTGAATTTCATTAACAGAGACTAGCGATATCAAAAGAACTTCATAAGAAGGACCAAATGCGAATAAAAGGTAATAATTTCCAATCCAATAGCTTTAAATGCAGTCTAGATCTCATCAAGGATCTGAGTAAAGCAAATCAAAAGTATATCCAGTCTGAAGAAAAATGCATCAGACTTCAAAAAGAGAAGGATCAAATAGAATCTAAATATGCAAATCTCGAAGCTGAAAATGCTAAAATTGCTACTGCATTGACCAAAACCAAGGAAGAAGTTGCCAAATCACATATGGAATGCCAGCAAAGAGATCAGCATATCATTGAAATGAGTATTAAGCATGAAGAGGTACTTGAAGCAAAGGATGCGGCTATTCTTGAGCTTGAGAAAAAGCTTAAACAGCAACAAGAGAGATATGAAAAAGAGATACAAACTTTCAAAGAAACAAATCATCACTTGAAAGAGTGACTTGGGAAGCATAATGGAGGCGATGAGGAAGCTAGATCAGAATTAATCCCAGAGTTGGGTGAAACCAGGATGGAACTGACCGAAAAGAACCAGCCTAAATTAAGCGTGAGCACATTTGATCAAAATACACCAGGTATCTACTCTGTAATAACTTGTTCAGTGCATAATGGGTCTTCAAGTGTAAACATGATATAAAAATGTATGTGCTTCTTAAGCTTGACTCTAAAATGACAAATTCTTAGTTCAATTAAATTCGAATATAGGTCAGTCATCAGATTCTACCCTCAAGTCCTGAAACAGGAAATGCGAAAGCGAGTCTGAAATAGAAGCTGTAATACGCTAAAAAATACTCTAGTGTGATAAATTTAGTTCATTTCAACCTCATTAGTCAAAAGGGGTTTTGGGGTTTTGGGGTTTTGGGGTTTTGGGG